GGAGAGCGATCTGGTTGGTTGGGGCGACGATGTTGTATGGGAAGAGCTGAATGTTTGGACTTATTGCGGGCAAATCTTTGGGGCAAGACGATGTCGAAGAAGGTGGCTAGGGCCCGAAGTGAAGCGCATCGTAGGACTCTCGATAAATCGATTCAGTGCGTCAGATCCGGCTGCTGATTGGTGCTGGGGGTAATGTGATGCGGCTGATCCAATAGCAGGCTCAGATACGACTGGCGAGGGTGGGGTTGCTCGACAGGCTGAGAGCGAGTCAAAGCCTGCGAATGGAGACGGTGACGCTGGTGCGTGTGTACGCGTGTGCGGTGGAATCAGAGTGGACAAAGCTGCGTGGAATGGTCCATTCGATTTCATGTCTCGAGGTCAGTTGAGCGTGGGAGGACCAATCAAACGAGAGAAGATGGGGTAAGTGAACAAGTCTCACTTTCAAGTGGCGGGGCCAAGAGCATTAAAATAAAAAAATGGGCTGAGTCGCTGCACCATCTTTCGACTTGCAAGAAGACGACCATCCTGACCATTGCAAGTTTTCGCAATGTTACTCATTGGCGGAGTGGCATTTTCCGAAAGTCATCTGGGTCCTCCTCGTATATTGAAGGCTTGCAGGACTAGTTGGATGTCTGCTTTCATGTAGGATACACTCACAAGACAGAATACCTCTTGCAGACGAGTCCTGCTGAAATATGATTGTTCTAAATATTTCTCACGCTGGTATGGCCAGTCTGTGGTAGGAAGTGGTGCGTTCATTTAGCCAACAATACGAAAATCTGTATGACTTACTGAGCAGAAGCGATAAAACCCGTCACAGAGGCGAGATTAGCTTGGTCCATAAAAATAAATGCACATTTTCATTCCACCTCTTACATGTGGGCCGACATATCTTCGCTCCGCTTCTGTTCCGTTCATGATTTACTATTTTATCCTTTATTGATATACTTTTTATTCACTATTAATTTCCCTGGTCTAATTAAAATAATCTAATCTAACAAATAAATAGCAATAATTATTGGTCATTAAACTACAGTAAACTTATATAGTTAAACTAAGCATTAATCGAAAATTATTTTCCACGAGTTTGTTTCAAAGTCATAAATAGTTCTCAAATATGAAATCCTGTTAATCTAGCCCGCCTAAGGTGATTTTATCAGTGATGGCGAAATTTTTTAAAGTGATTAGGCCTTGACTTGCCGTTGCATAATACATGAATTATATAAGCTATGAATTTTATCATACTGGTTTGAAGTTCACTTAACCTTGCCCTCCATAAGGCATTATCATCCGGGCCTGAATGAATTTCAGTTTCTACCTCGTCTCGGTCTCATCTCTACCGCAAAAACGGGAGTTGAACCAGTGCACTACAGTTTACATTTTACTACTACTCATTAGGAGGTATACTCATAGCCTTGAGAGAAAATTAAACTATCAGTCCTTCAGCTGAAGCGGCCTCGGGTGAGTAAAGCTATCTTTCCAGAGCAAATTATAGCCTTGAAATTTTAATCAAATCAAATATAAATACATGCTCACCTCACAGGCAATGCTACTTTAAAGGGGATTTGGAAGAGGCATAGCTTACTTCGAAGGTTAAAATACTCTTTGGCCTACCGGCACAAATGGCTGTATCGCGGAGTGGAATCATGTCGCTATGATGCTCACGACTCGTCTTTGAATCCCGCTGATACGGAGTGGGCAGAGTTGAAACTGTAATCGAGTGTAGATAAAGAAAACTAATTGTGACGAATATATTCTCGAGGACTACTCGTTTCGACTTGGGAAGGTTCAATAACATTCTTGGCATTCCTTTAAGTGACCTGGAATGACTTAAGTTATTAATATAAAGTAACATCCTTGTGGATAAAGAGGACATCTTCGGTCGGCCTTTGCTGTCTGACAGACAGACAAGGCAAGCAGTCCACTCCTGTTTGGATGAGATGACCTTTTGGGAAGCGAGGCTGTGTGAAATTACATGGAAACATGAAACTTACACATATTATTGTGGAAAAATTCATTTGCCCGTCCTTCATACCCTTAAAGAAAACAGGGCGAATACAGCTCTTATACGGACCGACTGTCTCCTGATCCAGAAGCAACTACTTTTATCCTAGCCCTCGAGTAGTATGACAGAGCTAATGATAAAAAAACCCTTTTCGAATATGAGAGTATTCCTCCTATTTCGCTTAAGGTGATGAGTGAGTGATAGTCGAAATGTCCCACAATCATATGTATAGAGCTGACGTTGCCAGTGAATTTCACATAGCCCTGTTTTCCCAAAAGGTTTTCTCATCCAGGCAGAAGTGGACTGCAGTTTCGACCTCGCCTATGCCTTATCAACACCCTCGAGACGAGGCCGAAACTGCGGCCCACTTCGGTCAGGATGAAAGCACCTTTTGGGAAAACAATTGAAATGTCATCTCCACATATCTCAGTGAGTAGAAATTCAACTACCAGTCCTCCATCACCTTAAATCTCATATACCTGATTTACTGCTATTCTCGAAACTCTACTTATAGGCGAAAAATAACCATTTTCGAATCCCTGTAAAGCAAAGTAGGCTTTTAGGCTGCAATCTACTTCGGGCAAAAAATTCGTCTGGCGGACTCGTTTAGGTAAAAAAGCAATGAGGAAGGAAGGAATACTTTTATCTCCATCGTCAAGTAAAGAAGGAATATGGACAAGGTCATTTTGCAAGACGGTCTTTCATTAATTAGCTTTCACTTTAGCGGAGAAAATCAGTCCGCTAATCGTGGGCAAATGTGAATTCATTGTTTATGGGCAGGAGCTGCTATTTCACTTTTAAAGTCTGGAAAGGCTATCTATGTTGTCTGCCGCAGAACAGGTTCGGAAACATGTCAATTCAAAAACTTTTATATCTACATTTAACTCTAGCTGTCTCTAATTAGGAATACAAAAAAATTACGGAAGAAAATACTTTAACCGTAGAAATTTAGTGCCATTGAAAGCCTGAAAGTGGGATAAGGCCGAATTGTCATTTCGTATGAAAGTGCATGAAGAAGAGATTCGTTGGTCGATCTCACCAGAAGAGGAAGGATGAAACTTGTTGTACTGAAGCCGGTTGAATTTTATATGATTTTCATGTTGACGCAGTCCACGAGACTTCCTCCCTCGTTTCGGGTGAAAACGTGCTAAGCCTTCGTCCATCATATGATGGATATCATCAGAGCTGGGTGTCATTCTTGTAAAAGTATCATGTCAACACTAGGGCAAGAAGACTATCCGGCTCTATCTTACTCAGCACGTTGTCACCCGAAACGAGGGAGGAAGTCCCGTGGACTGCGTCAACATGAATATTGCATAAAATCCAACCGGCCGCAGTACAACGAGTTTCATCCGTCCTCTTCTGGTGAGATCGACCAACGAATCTCTTCTTCATGCACTTTCATACGAAATGAAGTTTCGCCTAACAATGTTATCTCAGGAGATTCATTGAGACCAAGTTTCTATTCGTATCTATAAGGCCGCATATTTTTTCATTTTTTTTTACGGTTTCCTATTCTGTCGCTAGTGTTATCTGGGTTCGAACACTAAACGGATGTCACTAAAATATGTGCCTGACTACCTGCAAAAAGGTGGTGCTTTCCAGCCTGAATAAAGAATGAAAAGTAAGTAAGCAAGTATCTTATAAAAAATGGTGAAAGCCCGGAAGATAAAACGAGAATTAAGGGTGATAGGACAAATTGCTGCAGCCGGGGCGTGCTACACAAAAAGATTCCAGTTAATTTGAATGCCACAATAGCAACAATGTGGTGGCTAGTATATACTTTGTACTCACCTTATTTCGTTTAAAGTGATAAAGGACTAATAGTAGAATTTTCCCACAATTTTATGAGCAGAGCTGACGATTCCATTTGATTTTACATATCCTTGCTTTCCCTAAAGTTGTTCTCATTCAGGGTGGACTGCAATGGGAACGTCAGCTCAACTCATATCATTGTGGGAAAATTCTAGTACCAGCTCTTCAGCACCTTAGACGAAATAGGGTGAATTGCTGATTTACTGGTACTCTCAAAACTCTACTTACATACGAAAAATAGGATATGATTGTTGGTTTCTTATGAAAGTGCATGAAGAAGAGTTTCGTGGGTCGATCTCACCAGAAGAGGACGGATGAAGCCCTTTAAACTGCAGCCGTTTGGCTTTTATACGACGTTTAGGTTGACGCAGTCAACGAGACTTTTTGCCTCGTTTCGGGTGGAAACGGGCATGGACCTCATCAAAGCTGGGTCTCATTCCTGTAAATCTTACATTACCACTAGGTCAAGAAGACTATCCGGCTCTATCTTACCTCTTATATAGACTCAATTGAGTCAAAATAAAATTAAAAAACTAGATAGATATAGAGTAGTTTGGCTAATTATCTTTCCTACTGGTCCTGTTACTTTTCTCGAGTGTGTGCGTGTGTGTATA